TTGCTAGAGACAAGAGGAGGATGTCATTTATAAAAAAATCAGAAAGTTATCTTGCTCAAAAAGCACTGAATTAACCAACTTTACAGTATAAATGCCACATTGTCTTTGCATCAGGAGGACAAAATGTTTAGCAGTAAGCAAATGTCCCCATGCAGATGCTGAAATGTATCCAAGACAGAGTAGTAATAGTGTGCTTTCACAAAGGTGTGCAGGAGGCCATAACAGTGTGTATTTCTTCTTAAATGAAGGGGGAAATGTATGCTTCTGGGTCTGCTTTTATTGTGGCATTTATTATTAGTCTTTGTTGCTATTTCTATACTTAAGTAGAACAGAGGGCAAGACAAATAACTAAAAGCTGTGCTGACAGAGTTAGACAAGTATCAAAACTCATGTAGGTCTCTAGCCATGGTATGAACAATTATGAATTTGTAATATTTTCTATTAGCATAAAAACTCCAGTAGTGAATGGCACTATGCATTTACAGGCAAACACTGTCAAAAAGGTGTGATGCCTGTTTTCAGGATGTTTAAAATGCCCATAGGCAAACTAACAGATGGATAGATGCCATTTATCTTTTTAGGATGAGCTTAGAAGCTTTTTTTAATCCTTTGCTGCCGCTTCGTTCATTCTCTGCACCTCTCCTGTATGCCATGTAAGTGCCCAACTCAAATACAACATGAAAGAAATTTAAGTGTACGCTTCATGTCTATGTAACTGAATAGCTGTAAAGGACTTGAAGGGCCTCAACTCATATTTTTTGAATACCCAGATGATGGAGACATACACTACATCAAGTCAGACTTTATAACCTTTGTCCCTCTCAAAAAAACCAAGAAAGCGTTTTAGGATATGAAGTGGACTTTGGCTGCAGTGAAGTCTGGCAGCTGCTCCTGACTGCCACAGCACATTTGTAGCTAAACTGACAGTGCAGATTCTCTAAACATCCACGCACAGCCAAGTTTATCACATCCTGGTTCTTGATGTTTGTAGATTAGTCTTGCTTCTCTCTCCTGAAAACCCTTGCAGCAGAACTGAGCATTCAGCAGTTCTATGACGGGAGACACTGTTATTTTGGAAGCACAACTTTTTTTTTGTTCAAATGATCTTGTTGACAAGAGGCAAACCATGCTGGAGTCACTCAGGATGTTACCTGCTATGTGACAAAAACAGCCTGCTCTATCACTTGCTGTTTTAACATGCGGTGCTTTTGTAGAGGAAGGTACTTTATAAGCTGACATCTTTATGCCACTTCACACCTTTATATCTCAAAAACATTAAACTACAAGACAGTACTTGAAAGCGATTCCACTTCTTCTGAAAAGCTCAAAATTAAGCTTTTGTCCCAATTTTGACCCACCTTCAGATTGACATCCTTCTCAGTTCTAAGTTGAAAATGCTTCAAACCGTTGGTATTTTCTGTTACAAGAAGGTAAAACTAAAGATCACCATTTGTTTATATAAGATTTAGGTTCTATTCCTCTGAATTAGATTAAACTAAAATCAAATTGACACTCTTGCTTTAGTTTCCAGTGCTCTGTTAGTGGGTTCCTGTTATGAAGCATTACAATTTAAGACAAGAAAGTAAAACAGTATTGAATCAGTTTATCTACTATCACAAAGAGAATAAGAGCACAGAATTGCTCTTTCAATTTAAAAACTTCAAACTATTTTAAAGTGCGTTGAAGCGGATGCTGGAGAGGGACTCTTCATTAGGGACTGTAGTGACAGGACAAGGGGTAACTGGTTCACACTTACAGGAAGTTTAGATTGGATATAAGGAAGAAGTTCTTTCCTGTTAGGGTGGTGAGGCACTGGAATGGGTTGCCCAGGGAAGTTGTGAATGCTCCATCCCTGGCGGTGTTCAAGGCCAGGTTGGACAAAGCCTTGGGTGACATGGTTTAGTGTGAGGTGTCCCTGCCCATGGCAGGGGGGTTGGAACTGGATGATCTTAAGGTCCTTTCCAACCCTAACTGTTCTATGATTCTATTAAGTCTATGTCCAGCACAAGTGATTGAAAGCCAAGTGAAATGCAGGCAGTGGTCTTGCCCTCCCAGCAGCCTCCTTAAAACTTGCAGTTGTTCCCCAGATGTCTGGTTGGCAGTCCTATGAGCAAGCAGCAAAAGGAATGCCTATAGTTCCACAATTAGCAAAAAAGCCCCAAACCCAGACAAGGCCCTAACACCCCATGCCCCAGATTCCACACAGTTCTGCAGCACTGCTAGAAACCACAGCCCAGCTGCTGCAATCGGAATGCTCACAAAGCTGTACAGGGAGGAAAGGGAGCTGGAGTGATAGTTTTCTCTTGGAGGCACAGGACTTCAAGCAAAGAGTGAGATATTCTACAGTTTTGTCCCTTTAACATTATTTTAAGTGTTCTGTTGTTTTCCAATGTTCTAAAGAAAAGCTAATCTAAGCAATACACTTTCCATGGCAAGTACTGCAGTAATGCTCTTGAGCATAGATTCTGATTAAAGGGTGGTGAGCCTTGCTGTTAGTAGCCCATTTGCTAGCCTCTCTGCGGAGACAAACAGGGATTTTACATCTGTGCTTTTCTCTGAGAGCAGTTAGTGACATGAAAAGATTTGATTTGTAAATGTCTAAGGCAATAGACTTCATCTTTATAGCACAAAGAGAAAGGAAGCATGAAGCAGTGAATTGCACAGCTGCCTAGAGAAGAGCCACATTCTTTTCCAGTATCGCCATTTATCAGACAGATGAAACAGGGAAATTTCTGTGAGGATTGTCTCAATAGCAGCACAGAATATGTACACTACCTCCTCAAGCATGTGCAGATTTAATGAGTTTCCACCTGCCAACAAAAGCTGAAGTTCTGCAGATTTCCTCACCCCCCTGCTCCACCTTTATTTACACTTAGTAAAAACTTATCATTCAGTGTGCTGTAAGTTTATACAGTGGGCTGAATCCATTGCATAAAGAATCAATCAATAATCACCCTTTTTTAGTAAGAATAAATAATCACTCTTTGTTTTTTACTGAGTCAATAATCATCAGTAATCATCCTTTGCTTTTAGGGCATAGTCATCTAAAAATTCATATACGTCAGGAACACACTGTCCAAATGCTCAGGTTTATTAAGTATAAGTAGTTTTCCAAGAGATTCTTTATCTCAGGTTTTGTTGCTTGTATCTGCAGATATCAAAAAATGGCCATGAGTTTGTACATATTATGTCTGCAATTGTCCTTAGTAAACTTGCATATTTGGACAGTGTGAAGAGCATGTTCTTGGTAGGACATATTTGTTATCAGCTGGGAAGTTTTAAATGGAATATATTTTAAGGCATTAAGATGTTCTTTCTTTAACTCTCTATGGATGCAGTCAGCACACAGTGGTAATAGTGTAGGCACTGCTCTTACAGTTCTGAGGAGTTCAGGCACTAGGGTAGATGGGAGCTTTATCTAGAAACGGCAAGGGATTTCAATCTAAATTTCAGTTGCTCAGTTACTTTTATCCTGTATTGATGGCAGTTATAGAAAACAGCAAAGGAAATAAAATTATAGGCAGAGCAGTGTTAATAATTTAAAATAATTCAGTGGTAACACTGATAGAATGTATGAAACTTTAAAGTGAGCTAGACAAAGACGGTAATGTTATCCTTGCATAAACCACTTAGATATTGATAGATATTGCTATTTCCCTTAGAAGAGTTTTGGTAGCTGTCTTAAAGGAACTGTCCTTTGAGCATAAAACCAGTAGGGATGAATTAGAACACAGAGCATTCCCCATTAAGTTACATTGGGCTGCCAGAACTAAAATGATTTTAGTGCAGCTGAGGAAGTCAAACCATTCTGGAAATTGCATCCCCTGATTTTCTTACAGATAAATGGGCAGAAGACTCACAACTAGCATTTATTTGAAAAATTGCTTTTTATCTCCAGTAATAAAATATGCAAATATATAAAATCTTTCCCTAGCCCATGTTTAAGCTACCTGAAATGACCCTTTATGTATTTCTTTAGATTTTAAGTCAGTTTTAATTAAATGTTTTACTTCTCATGAAATCAGGAGAGACCTCTCAAAACCTCAACTCAAATCAAGTATTTGAAGATAAATTTCACAGAAATACAAAAATCAAACTTGGACAAGTTACTGTTTCTTTCAAAGAAGCTTCACACGCCTAAATTACAGTCTTTAAACTATGACTTGGGTTATATCACACATAAAGTCCAAATTCTGTGGCGGTCTCTCACCTGGTAAGAATCAAAAAACCTTGTAGTTTAAAGCATCCTCCATAATACATTGGGACAGAAATGGAAAAACATTTTTAAAGCATATGATAAGGGGGTTTAAATCAAGTATTTACATCTGCCGTTGTTTATCGAGGCTCCAATGTCCATTTGTGTGCTGTTCAGTCACTACAAACAGTAGGCAGTAAGTATCATCTGTGTACTGTATTGTATCTGTGTACTGTATTGTACATTAACCCATCTTGGGTTGCTTTAAAAGTTGAACATGTTTAAGAAACTCATGGTTTGTCACTAGTTTGCTGCTACTGCTATGGAAAGAGTTGGATTATTAGCATCCAGGGTCTAGCTGTGTTTCTTCAGGGAGAGTCAGAGGTCACTATCTCTTTGGTACAGGTGGGTTGGGCAGTCTGACACTTTCAGCAGGTCATTTGTCTACTGTTGTCCAGCTCTAAATCCAGACTCCAGAAGATAATGTGGATAAATTCTTTTTCCTACTTCCAAAACTTGATTCTTTCTACTATATTCTTTTCTGTTCTTTATTCTGCCCTTCCTAATCTTTATTCTGTCAACTGCAGTCTGAAAGTCTCCTGGGTCCCCTGCTTCCTTTTCCTCAAATTTTAGACTCCTCTCAGCCCTTTTTACTCACCTTCATATTTGCAGTCCTCTTCAATTCTCAACCTTTAGCTTCTATTTCTAAAGTTTCTGCAGTTACTCCCCTCCATTCCACTCCATTTCTCAAGAGCCCAGTCAACTGGTACTGCAAAAGAAATGTTATTTTTCTTTCCAACAGTGTTGAAAAGTCTCAAGCTATGTCTACACATCACAAAAGGTCCTCTTATCCCACCGCTCCTCTTGTGTCAGCAAATGGCATGAAATCTAACTATCTACAGAAGCTTTATATCTCCAGCAGGAACTGCTTCATGTCCTTTTTCTGCTGTTCAGCTGTAAAACTAATGCTCCAAGACCAAGGTCACACTAGCCGTTGCTTTTTTAGGCTTATGTCCCTCACACACAGATCCTACCTTATTACCTTCAATTACCTTCAATCTATTTTCTCACTGTATCAGCAGGGAATTATCAAGAATACAGTTCCCAGTTCTAACCAAGGGCCCTTTCTCTGCACCTCTCCTTCCAGTTCAAAGCACTGTGAAGCCCCTGTTGCCCTCCAGGATGGCATATTTCCAGTCCTTTCCCTTTCCAGAGCTGTGGCAGTTGGTGCATGCTCAGTAAGTCTGAAGAGATGGTTCATTAAAAGTCTGGACATGTCGGTGCTGTGTGAGAACAGACAATATCCAGTCTGCTCAGGCAAAAAAACAAACCATTGTTAAGGGCTTGCTTACAATAACAATGTACCTTCCTAAGAGTTAACTCAAATTCTTAGTCTTGTGATTTAGAAAATGTGTGTACGTTTCCCTAGGGTCAGCGAAGGTGTAGTCATGCTAAAGGCCATCAGATTAAGTTTCTGCACCAATCTTTAAGTTTTCCAGAAAGCAAAGGCTTGAGAGAATGAAGGGACAGTAAAATCCAAACTAAAAACCCCAAGCCAACACACCAGCGCTATACTTCTTCCTTAAGTTAACTCGGAGACATCTGCAACTGCTTTGGCTGAAATAATAGAATGAAATAAACATTAAAGGGAATATATATCTGAGTGTGTATGATAAATGTAGAAAAGCCATTCAGACTGGAGAAATTCATATAGCTGCTTGGCATTACAGGACAGTCAGAACTACTTGTTACTAAAAAAAGTAGCAGGAAACCTTAATAATAGCCATGCTGGCATCCCCACCTCAAATGTATACACTGCCAAGGCTGCCAGAAAAACTCTCTTCCTAATGGAGGTGTGTGAAGTAGGCTCGGTCTTCAGCTTTTGTAAAATGGAAGGTCATTCTCATTCCTAAATTAGGTTTTGGAGGGTTTTAGGTAAAAAAAACCACAACAACAACCCACAACAAAAGCACAAAACCCTTACACAGTTTCTGGTCTTTATTTGCATTATCATTTCACAGTAAGCTTTCTGCAGCAGAATGATCCCCAGGGAAATGCATCAGTTATTCTGTCCTTAGAGAGTACATTTATGCCATATCATTGCTACCTTTAAAGAGCTTGCTTATTGTCCTCAGGAGAACATTTCAGTTGCATTGCTCTTGTGGTGGCTGCTTCCAAATGTATTTTCATCCTCGAGATGTGCTGATGATGATGCTTTGTTGATAAGAAAATGGGAATAGTTTTCACAAACATTTAAATGCAGCCATAATAGAAATTACTTGTCAGCCTATGGAAGAATCACAGAGAAGCAAAGCATCACAGACTTTTTTCTGGGTTCCAAAAGATTTGTGTTAGTGGAAGGAGAAGAAACTGCAAGCTGCTTACAAAAGTACAAAGAGGAAAAAAACCCAGTAAGCTAATGGGGTAAAGCTGGGCGTCCTAGAGCATGACTTAATCTTTTCCACATGCATTTAAGGAATCTTAAGAATACCTTATGCAAAAAAATTAAATATCAGTGGCAGTCACTCCTGAGATTAAGCTAATTCAATAAACTAAGGTAGCTCAGGGCAGCCTGAGTGTTGTATAGCTGAGGGGGATTAGACTGATGGAAATCGAATCTCTCTTTCATCTGAGCTGGATTGTGAGGGAAACTAACAATTTCACTCCAGCTTTTTAAGACTACATTAGTTTTTCATCAACTTTATTAAGAAAAGAGGGATAAACACCTTGAGAAATAACCAAACCCCAAATATTCCGGTTTAAGAAAGTTGTATGTGAAGTATACAGGGAGAGATGAGTCTCCCCTCCAAAGCATCATATAAATCATGAATAAAAATCCCTCTTTCCCCTTTCATTACTAAGGCAGAAAAGCAAAGCAAAGGGAATGGTTCTGTAACCATAGCAACATTAGCCACTTTTTTTTTTTTTTGAAGAGGCACTACAATTTGGATCCTGCATTCTGAGGATAAAGTTTGCATCAAGGAAAAGAATGGAATAACTTTAGTTTGTTCCTTATGACCGTTTTTTTTCTTTTCTGAAGCAGCTTAAAAAAGAGGTTGCCAGCAAACAACAAGGAGTGCAATTGCTTATACTCTTTCTGAAATAAGGTGCAAGACATCATATGTAACTCTCAGGAGTTCATATTTGGATATTATTACTATGCATAAAAGCATACTCTTTAGAATGGTCAGTTATAAGAAATTTGCAATAGTAACAGGAAGTATGGGAAAATTATTATAGTTGCTATATAGTATCAGTTTAACCATCGTCATCACGATGCATTTCCTAGATATTATAGCTTCAGTCAGATATAAAAAACTTGCTTTCTGCCTCCCTTCCTCTTATTGGGCACATGTAATCTCAATTTACATTCACTACAGAGAATTGTATTCGCAGTAGGTTACAAGCACAGGCAGTTCTACCAGATCCCCTGTTCCCTTGAAGCTCACCAGTTAATACTCATTTTTTTATGAAAAGCCATCCTCAGAAATAGATGCAGTCATAAAATAACACACTACTAAGTGCTTAAGAATATTGAAATCTAAGTATTTTGGTCTCTGAAGCAATCTGAACTTATTTGTTCAATATTCCAATATAATGAAACAGCCAAGGTCACTGTTCAGGGGTTCCAGGAGATGCATTGGATCCTTTTATAACATCATGACAGGTAAAGATAGAAAGAGACTTACTCATTAAAACAAGTTCTAGTGATCAGAAAAAAGAATGGTGGAAGAAAAAGGGCACTAGCCAGCAATTGGAAGACAAAGTTCAATAGCTTAGACAACTTGCTCAAGTTACTTTATCTACATATTTCATTTATATTTACAAAGTGCAGTAGTCCAATAATGACACCTGCATTGCAGTCAATAAGTCACTCAAGTACCACCAAAATGGCAATCACAGAGCCATGAAACATAGTGTCTAGAGATCCTGACATCCTGGAGGAGCATCTTGATAAAATCTTGCATCCAGTTTGCTTTTTCTTTATTTTCTTTTTTAACATTTCTCATTAGAGTTCTCAATTAGGAATGTTCTCCCAGGCTTAAGGTAGTCAAATTTATGTGATTTATTATCTAATAAAGGTAAAGCATTAGGACTTTATGTAAATGGTATGTAGCTCCCATGAGGTAGCTATTCTTCAGGCAAAACTGAGCTACCAGTTTTTCTTTTGGATACATGAGAAGTTATATATCCTTCTAGGACTAATCTATGCTATACATAGCAAGATTTCTTTAGATTTACATGAAGGTCATATTGGCAACAAGAGAACCACAATTTCTAAGATGTAACGTATTTTAATGCAACATATTTTAATGCATTTCCTCCAAACGAGGAAAATATCCTTTCAAATTGTTATGAGGATATATCAGAAAGGAACATATGACAAAACTCTGCCTGTAGCTGATAGAATTCATATATCCTGGCAATTTCAAGTGAACTGAGTATCTGACTTCAAATGAGTACAATCATATATGCTGCAGCTGTTCATGGAGGTAAAGAGAGTGTATTTCATTTTGGGATCCTGAGCTGTGGAAAGTGGATGCTCTTAAGATTGGCCACATGGGCCCATTGGCTGTATTAAGGCATCAACTGCATCAGTAAAAGGAGGTTGCTATCCCTTTTGATCTACTCCAGTGTGTTTCAATTCAAAGCTTGCTGATTTACTTCAGGCAAAAAGTGACTATTTAAACTGTTCTATCCAATTCTGCCCAAGACACATGAGACAGTATTTGCATGAACTGCTTAATCGCCAGATTGCTGATACACGACAGTGTATGCTCCAAAAGAGGGCAGCGACAAGCAGCTGATAACTTGCCTGATAATATTCTCCCTTTTCCTGCTCCATTGATTTTTCCATAATGGTAAGCTCTCCTTTTCAGACTTGTAAGACTCCAGTGAGGAATGTTAGGAAAGGGAATTCCAAGGTTTTAATCAAGAAGAGAGAAACAATATCATTATTACTGAACACTTTAATTTATGACTATATTGCAGCTTCATGCAGTGTATGTAAATTAAATTATATTACAGATGTAAGCAAACAGTAACATGCACACAACTCAGTACAATAAGCTATTTTCTTGCTCTTGTAACATTTATACCTTTAATATTATGCTATGTAGGAGGCTGAGTGTATGTATCTCTAACTTTTAATATGTTAAGGCTGAATGTAAAGGTGTTTTTTTTTGCCACAATGACAAATTTCAGAAACATCTGAGTAACTGAGGGGTTTCTCAACCTTCACAATCTTAATTGGGCTGAAAACAAAAGTTAGTCCAGAGCTGGTCTGTTTATAAGCTTCTGGAGTAACTCTTTACCCTCATAAAGCATTTTAAAATTAACTGCTAGGTTAGATAAGAAATCCAAAGTACCCAACAGTCAGGTAAGACTCCAGTAAAAAGCATCATTCAAATATAATTTGTAGGAATATTATATACTAAATTTACTTGACCCAAGTGATGTATATTTACCACTGAGAACAGAATAATCTGAACGCCCAGAAGCTGCCAAGATAACGGTTCTACAGCACATGACAGATTTTCAGAATCATCCCCTCACCTTTTTTCAATAGGAGCCATTTTATACAAATCACCCACACAAATCTTCTGAAGTGATGTCTACACCGTCTGTATGTTGTAATATGTAGAACACTGACACATCCGAAAAGGCAATCTTCTTCTGTTGTTGTTTTTTTAACATTATCCCTCTCCTTAATTTAAAAGAAGAGACACTAGGTAAGGAAAAAAAATCACTGTTATTTGTGAAGGAGCTGGCAGAAGTGTGAAACTAATCATTCTTAAAATTCTATAGAGGGACACCAAAGACAAAAATAAAACAACAAAGCCAACCATAAATAACATTCAGGATGGCAGATGTCAGCTAGCAGGAGAGTAACAAAGAAAGCATAGAGGACACTATAAGAGTGCCTTCCTTCCCTGCAACAACTCCTTAAGTTGTAACAGCAGTTATTATGCTCCCTTTTAGATGTGAGATCTGAAACTTAAAAATCTATTTGTATCAAACCACAATTGGTTTAATAAACATTACTCAGATGCAGAAGACTGTGCCAAATTGATCAAATGTTACTTGAAGTAATTCACTGCATGTGGAAAAGCCACCTACTGTCTCCAAACAACCTGTTATAAAAATACTGCCGACCAGGGAATTAAGTCTGCACACAAGACACCATGCACCAACACAACAGCACCCAATGGGCTATAAAGGGAACGATGTACCAGGTAGTGATGCTTCTACCCTAAATCTCTTTTTCTAATCTTTCTTTTTTCTGCATGATCCAAACTTAAATGCCTCTATGAGAGGTAGACACAACAAGCTGTTAGGTCTATTGTGCTTTTCATCTGCAAATTAAACTGTAGTAAACCCAAAGTAAGTCTCCATGCTAAAGTTGTTAAGACCTTCTCTGTCAATAACTTGCATAAAATGAATTACACAATTATACCTCAGCACAAACTGTAATGACTACAAATTACAGCAGTAATTGTATTATACAGCAAAGTGATTTGATTCATTGCTTACAGGGCATAATTAATAAGCTGAAATAAGATTATCTCTATATTCCATTTTTAGTATATTTTTTTCTGAAGAGTACTTTGCTGGCGTTTTTTACCCAACATCTCATTGCTCTGACTGCCAGGAATATTGAATGCCTTTTTTTTGGGTGAAAGTCATGAGCATCATCTTAAATTACTGACGTAAGTCAGGAAGGGTCTGTAAAGAATCAAGAGGCATCACTACTCCCAGGAGATGAAATAAAGTGATAAAGAGAGATAAATAGAAGGCAATCTTGTATGGCAGAGAGCTCTTTATGGGTATCTGTTGATGAGCAAGGGCAGAGAGCTGACTAAAGCAGATTACATTTGCATTTCTGTTAGGTGACAGTTAATTTTAATTTCATTGATTGTTGTTAAGTTAGGATAACAAAGTAGCCTTTATTTATTTCCCATGAGGAAAAGAGTTAGGAGGAAAGGCCGGGCTAGGGTGACACATCACAGTCCCAGCTTCCCATCCCAAACAAGAAGCAATTAGGTTTGGTAGAAAAGCCACTCTAAGCAGTCACTCTTATATGGGGACTGCAAAGACTGAAGTAACAGAGAAACACTTGGTGGACTGGGTAAAGAAGCATCTTTAAGTCAGCCAAAGCTGCTTGGCCTAAGTTAATAAGAATGGCAGTCTGTCTTAAGGACACGAGCAAGGGCCTCCCTGTCTAATATCAGCTCATCTGTACCAAGTTATGGAGTTGGCAGAACAGTGCAGACATTTTTTTTTGCAAAAGACTGCTGTGTCAAATTTGGAAGCAGCACTGCACAAGAAACTGTGAAACAGAAAATGGATGGAAGGCAAAAGATCTTAACTCTGAACTGTAGACAACTTGTTAAGGTATCTTGATAATGAGGGAAGGAGTGGGAATGATCATTAACAACATGCCCCAGAATCCTTCAGATTATTGCCAGTAGTTCTCTTCAAGCCTGATGTACTTTGTTAAGATATTTTTATATACCAGGAAGGCGATCAACTAAGAATAACAGAGCAAGAGGGTAATGTATATAATACTTTCAATTTGTGTCCTGGCATGCATCGCTAGTCATTTCAGTCTGAGCCTTTGTTGGGGTTTTGCTGTTAGTTTTGGATGGTTGTTTTATTTTAAATGAAGTCTTCATTTTATAAACCTGCACTATTTTCCTCATTACAGAACTGGTTTCAGGTAGTTCCAACTAGATCTAGCAGAGCTGCTGTGGAATGCAGTTATCCTCATCCTGCAGTCAAATGAAGGAAATTTGGGAAATCTGGTATTTGTCTGAAAAGATAAGACTCATAGAAACAAGAGCTTTAATATTTCTTTGGTTCCTGTTTTGCTAAACAGAATAAAAGCTAGTAATTTATTATTGGAAAAATCTCCTTAATCTAAATGCAGATTCAACTTGCTCTTTATTAGGTGATTATAATGAAGAATATGAAAATCAGGAAAGAAGCCAGAACAGCACTCATCTCTACTTTGGAATAATGTAAGGAACATCTGAGAGCTTCACAACTTTGTCCTTTGACATGCTCTGGAAAACAATTTAAGCATCTTCAAACAGGGCTGTTGGTCACTAGAAGGAGCTATGGTTTTCTTTAGCATGTGCTTTGATATCGTTAACAATACAGTTAAAAATGCTAATATGGAATTCCAGTGAAAAGCCTGGATTTCTGAATGCTTGTATTTTTTAATAACAATCTCTGCAGTTGCACTCAAACAGGGCAAATAATCTGGCTGTCAATTTTTGACAGACAGTTTGAGCAGAAGTACGTAACTGTGGAGCCGGGAATAATTCCTAATAATTGAAAGCACTTCATATTCATGCAAAGTGCATCTAAGAAACATATGGTTTAGAATACTTTTCATCTCAAGAATAATGTCAATAAATCCTTAATTTTATAAGGATTCTTTCTTTTCCCCTGACATAATTATCTTAAAAATATATTACAGCTGTAGGTCATATTTTAATGCAAATGAAAGATTTTGGTTTCTTTTGCTTGTGGGTTTGTTTTGGTTTTTAATAAAGACACTTCCTGTTTAGAGAATATGGTACCATCAATTTTGATTTAAATGATCCTCTCTGACAGAAGTTCCTTATGCAGTAGAGTTTGGGAAAAATTCAATAGACAAAGACTTTTGATTACAGCTGTGTAGTGGCAGGAGACATGCATAGTCACAGAGCAGCCATTTTCTCATTTTAATAAGAAAACTAGATAAAGAGGAACTGTTATTTAGAATATTACTGCAGCTCTTCCCACTTCCACTCCAAGAGACACTGCATTTTTCCTTCCCTTCAGTCAGTTAAGAACATCACTTGCACTCACACATGCACAGAAAAAGTGAATGGAGACTGGAACACCCTGATGAAAAAGTCAAGGTTTTGAAGTCACGGAAATGAGTGTTGTTATAAAAGTTGGCATTGTAAGGCAGTAGATGGGTGCTAGACTCATTTAATACACTGAAACTCACTTAGCTTGGACTATATTTTATCATGAATACAGAAAATACACCTTTCAGTTCTTACACTTGAAAATTTAGACCAAGCATTTGATATCACTGTGTTGAAGGTTTTAATTTATTCTCTCAAACACCCAGAGACATCTTAACTTCCAGACACCAAATACAAAAGATGGAAAATATGCAACTATTTTAACAATGAACATAAGCATCTTGGTGATGTGGAAGAGTAAGTCTCATTATCTTGCAGTAAATTAAGGATGTACATATCTTAAAAAGAATTTTTAAGGTAAGAAAACTTTTCTATGTAAAATTGTTTTATGGTTTATTAAAATTGATTGTGTATGAGTGGAGGAAACAGAATATGTTCTCATCATGAAAGCTACATCACAGATGTCTGTAGGTAGTCTGCAAAGCAAAACCCATAAAGCGTATACATTTTGCTTACTCCTAAACAGGGAATGGCATTGTACCTGATGTCATCAATTCTAAGTCTATTTCTGTAGAGACAGCAGTAAATGCTTAGCCATGCCATGGGAGTGAATACACATTGGTTACTTCAGAAAGCAGAAAAATATAGTTCTATTCACTGTGCAGTGTTTGCAATACAATACACTGATCTTAAAACAGGGCATAATTGAAAATGTAAATAGGAACCACAGAAACACCTTGCCTGCTCTCTTCCTGGAATTCATCTCCCACTTCAAAGTAGCAGCATCATTTTCTAAATTCTGTACACTGTTTTTTGCAGGAGTAAATTCAAATGCAGAGGTTGAACTGAGTGCATTTCCCTCCCCCCCCCCCCCCCCCCCCAAGTAATCTAATGTTCTAATACATAAGAATTTTGACAACAAACTAAGAAACCTAACAAACCCCAAACAACCAACCCCCCCCAAACTCCAACCTGAATTGCCCATTTCTCTCAGCAGCTCTGTTAGTAGTAATTGGCATGGAAATGGTTCTCCCCCATTTAAGTTTCTTCTTTCATAAAACAGAGATGAGAATCTCTCTGAATGTAATTCAGATAATTGAGTGTCCATTTATTTTTCTTGGTGTGTGTTAACACTGCAGAAAGGTTCAGGAGCTAAAGCAATTGTACCCAAAAAGGCTATCTGAGGCAGCACACAACATCAAATAGCTGGTTTTATGCTCATTTGCAAAAAAAGTATTTTCTTCTATTTCAAAACAATGCAGGTATCCCGCAACACCAAAAAGAAAAATTTTCACTCTGTGAACTGCAGTTCTATATGAGTTCACCCATGCAAATCTCACGAAGTTTCACAAAGCCAAGTGCAAGGTCCTGCATCAGGGGCAGGGCAATCCCAAGCACAAACGCAGGCTGGGCAGAGAATGGGTGGAGAGCAGCCCTGAGAAGAAGGACTTGGGGGTGCTGGCCAATATGAAGCTCAAAATGACCTGGCAGTGTGCACTTGAGCCTAGAAACCAACCGTATCCTGGGCTGCATTCCCCAGAGCATGTGCAGCAAGTCAAGAGAGGGGAATCTGCCCCTCTATTGAGCTAAGGGGAGAGCCCCCTGCAGTCTTGCATCCAACTCTGGGTCCCCCAGCATAAGAAAGATGTGGAGTTGTTGGAGAAAGTCCAGAAGAGGCCACAGTTCAAGAGCTGGAGCACCTCTCCTCTTGAAGACAGTTAGGGTGGTTAAGTGAATAAAAGAAAGCTCTGGAGAGACCTGATAGCAACCTTCTGGTGCCTAAAGGGGCTAACAGTAAAGATAGAGAGGGATTTTTTACATGGGAATATAGTGACAGGGCAAGTGGGAATAGGTTTACATTGAAAGAGGGTAGATTTAAATTCGATATTAGGAAGAAGTTCTTCACTGGCACAGGATGCCCAGGGAAACTGTGGCTGCCCCATCCCTGGCAGTGTTCAAGGCCAGGTTGGATGGGCTTGGAGCAACATGGTCTAGTGGAAGGTGTCCCTGCCCATAGCAGGGGGTTGGAACTGTATGATCTTTGAGGTTCCTTCCAACCCAAGCCATTCTCTGACTCTATATGCATCACTACATTTCAGCTTCCAATTTTAGAGTAATGAAAAATCAAAGTTCATTGAATCACACCACACAGGCTTCAAGGCTGAAATTAAATTAAAGAATCCATGAACTAGTATTTTTTGGGGCCTGCCAAAAATGGAATGTAATCAACAGGGTGGAAAACTACTGAAATAATTAAACTATATTTAACAGTTCTGAACCACAGTACTGCATCCTTGTTATACTGTCAGCCTATTTTTTTTGTGTATGTATAAGCGTACTACGTTCCAAAGTGCAATACAAATGTATTTCAGTATGACAACCTTAATATTCTTTAACTTTTCACACTGAAATCAGCAAAAATCCTGATACACTCATCAACACAAAGAGATGCTGGCTTTGTTTTTAACACCCCGTGATGGAAATACTGCAACTATTTTCCCTTCACAGCTTCTTGTGTTCCAGGTTCTGCATTGAATTGTATAAGCCTTAGATAACTATAGCTTATTCTAATGCATTTAATTCTTAATACTTAAACCCATAATGGTTTTTCTTTGAGTGGAAGGACTATTTCTGAGTCTCATTTAAAGCTCACTTAGGATATTTCAGAGACATTTAGCTGCTAGATGTCAAAGAATGACTAAAACCAAAACATGGTGAAGACATTGCAGATAGAGGCAGATAAGTAGGTCTATATTTTTTGCTTTCTTCCACGTGATTACCCCTGGAGCACAAATTGGACCCCCCCCCAAAGCTAATGCACTTTCTAAGGCATTATCCTTACCTTTCTCATATGTTTTTGCCTCTTTCAGATGAAAACCTGTACAAGAAGTCTCAGCATAATAAACCCCCTCATCAAGATGAAGCTGCTGCACAAGCTTGAATTACTATATTCTCACCATGCTGTGAAATCAACATGAAGAATAAGATAGTATAGCACATCAGGAGAAAATCTGCATCTCTACTTGACTTCACAGATCAACGTATCTCCTAAGCTGCACTTACTTTCCTGCTAATATCAATATACCATGAAGAAATTTCCCAAGGAGCAATGATACAACAGCTCACCCTTTTCCCAGACTCCGAGTTGCACCCATGTCTTTTGCTACTCTATCAGATGATGCCTGCTTCTGTGGCACCTCAAACCAGCAGCAACAACACAACCAAGGTGCCAACACAAGGTTCTGTTATACATTTTTCCACACCAAGCTAACAGTGCTGACAGCATGTCATGTATTGCACAGTAATCACTGTGTTGAAGGTACTTGGGTGGTGATGATTGTCTCTGCCTTTTGCCAGCTTTTTTACTCCATTTTTGTCATTGTATAGCAATGATTGAAAAGTCTGAACAAAATCAATACGATATATTATGCTAGCACTAAACACTGGCCATCTAGTTGCACTGATTAAGCAAAACTGATTCAGTTGAATCCGAATTTCACTGAGAATCCAAAACATAAGCGTATGGAAAATTGTGGTGATACAGGCTTTATTTTTACTTGTTTGCAAAAAAACCCATAACTTTATCAAACATTATAAACACTTTCAGTGCTGACAACCCTCTTCAGACATCAACTACTGTAATTTTCCACACATTTACATAATACTGGCTGATTAAACTGTCAGAATTTTCATTGCTGGTTGCTGCAGAAATCAAAAATAAAAACACAGCATTCACAATGCTTCACTCTCAGATTTTGAAACCAGAGTGTAAGAAATGGTAAAATGGCTAATCTGAAGCATATGGGGGAGTGTTCTCCTCAGTTACTAATTCATCTTTGCAGAATTTAGCTTATTTCCCCCAGTACAAGATTTGCCCCAGGTGGTAGCAGCCTACTTACCAACAACCCAAGCTGTGGCTCTGCACTCCTGCCTGAAGAGCCCCACTGACGTGGACACCCTCTTCCTTCACAAGTCATACTAAATTCCAGGCTTTCTTACCCTGGCAACATAATTCTTACAGGACTTACACGACCTCAGGGCCTGACTGATCTGGGAACCTAGAGAGCCATTATCACTTTAAGCTGGCTCTGCCCTACATTATTTCAGTATAATGTAATGCCTTTCCCATTTATCATATGTATCTCTTCTGGCTTATATTGAAGTAGCACTGATATTCATCTTAAGATGCATATGGCAAGATATAAGTTATCATATGAGCATTCCAGATTTATAACAAAAATTACCATATAATTATCATTGCTGCCTTTACATTCCCATACAATTTCCTCTCAAAATAATACGTGTTGTCTCACAGCTTATAATTAACTCATAAGCTCTGTTGCTTCCACAGAATGACCCAAATTTTAAATTTGAAAGGGAGTTCTACAGAGGACTACCAATAAATACATAATATCTATAAAGCAAAAGAAATATTCTGTTGTGGGTAAAAAAGTAGTTTGAATTCCTTTCTGTAGAAAAGATTAAGTACAAGAGCAACTGATGGTGAACACTTTTAAAATGTAATATTAAAATATTACAGAAAGATTAAAGTAAGCAATCCATCCCCTATGAAATCATCCCATCTGATTGCAATGCACATTAAGTTAACTCAGGCCAAATAAAACCCCACATATACCAGGTTAACACCGATCCAGAAATGAGTCTAACAATCCACAGTAACCAACTATGAAAACACTGCACTGAAGCTTCCGAAGCTACAAGAATTTACTCTTACAAATTGGCCTTCATAGCAACAGCAACCAATTTAAGATATTTATAAACTTTAAAAACACAATTGTAGAATAAGAACAACTATAAGTTGTCTGGAACGCTTGTATAACCACACAGTGAGAATCTTTTCATCAGGACATTCTTTACTTCTTAAAAGAACATCTTAAATTGCCTCTGAACTTCCATTTGAGAACATTCAGTTCCTCTGTTCTCATCTTCATACTCACTTACAGTAATTTTCATGGTTCAAGAAAAAATTTGGCAAATGAAAATACAGATTTTATTCTTCTGAAAGAGGTATAGAATGGCTAGCTGCTCTGTGATAGAATGGTGTGCTTTTACCCTGATACGCAACTGACCTGCTTTCTTCATTGAAATTGTCTTTTTATCTTAGACTGACTTTTCACATGGGAATTAATGATACTCTTATTAGCCTTATTGTGTACAGCCTTACTGTAAAGAAACAAGATACTGTCATAATTTACTATATCTTTGAGTATTTTATCTTCATCCAAGCTATACTTGTTTCTTCCATTACACTTTAGCTGTTTAAACTGTATAGCTCTGACCAGCTACATCTGCAAAAACATGCCTGTGTTGTGCAGGGAATTCCAGATTGTTATGAAGAGATGCTGAATAGTTTATATGAATTTAAGGACGTATCAGCATAGCCAGCTCTTGCTTCATTTGCCTTGATATATTAATTCTTTCCATGTTGTAAAAGACTAAAGCAAGATTAGCTGTGATGGGGATGAGAGGGGATGCTCAAGATGTGTTAGTATTACCACAGATATCAAGGTGTCTGTAAAGCCTTGATGAATTATTTCTAAAAATAATACTTATGCAGGTAATCAATCTTGCAGGTTTTGTCAAAAAGATAACACCCCCCCCCCCCCCCCAACCCAAATATTGATGTGTATAGCAGGACTATGTTTAAGAATGATAAAAGGCACTTCAGTCAATACAAACTGTGGCCACAGACACCTTGAGGCACGTGCAACAAAAAAAATGTTGGGTTTTGTTGTGATATATTTACTTCTCTTTCTGCTTTAAGTGTGGCCAGTTATGCAGCTCCCACAGTAACTATTGTTCTACTTACTTCTCTGGTTACAGTTTGCAGTCATCTTTTAAAATAACAAATAAGGGTTACATTTTGCAAGAGTTATTTTTAAAAAATAACAAAAAGGGTTACATTTTTCAACACAAGCAAGCACATAGGCAAAAAAGGGGGCAAAGAGAGGATGATGAGCATGCTATGAAATCAGTGGTTTTTTTTCTGTTAGTTGTAACACTGGTATGATGGCTGTATAAAGACAGCAGATAATATTATTTTCTATTAATTTTATGCTGTCATTTAATTAAATAAGTTCAGTAGTGTTTCAAATCACAAGATGAATTCAACAGTATTCACAGAAAATGCCAGCAATGTTGTTCCAGAAGTCTGACAGGAATTGATGGTAGCACTCACAAGGTATCCACTGTTACAGGAACAGTACAACTAGTACTTACCTACAATGAAGACAGTTATTGCTTCACTGGCAGAGAAATTCAGAAACTCAAAACTGTGTATTTAGTTTCTTATTCAACCCAGATTTGTATTAAAGAATAGACATTAAGTTTGACAATGTAATGTGTTTTCTCTAAAGGCAGAATCTTTGTAGATTTCGCATTCATGTTTTTCTTAGTAATGCTACAAATGCCTTCATGCCCACTTAAAAAACCCAACAGAACAACGAAGACCGGAAAGCCAGATTTGCTACAGCAGTAAATCTGTGCATACACAGGAAATAAGAATCCGAAATTACAGAAAAAATAAATGATAAAACGTAATATTCAGCCCTCCCAAATCCTGCACCTTCAACTTTCCACTACATTATAAACAAGGAAGGCAAGTTTATAAGCAATATATTCTTGGTTTTATTATTAATATTAATGCACAGCATATAGATGTTTGTAAGCTGTTTGTAAGTTTGTACAATCTCCAAATTATACAAGTGAAAGTGTTTTAGCACATTTCCTGTGTGCACAAGAAGGATCCTTCATAATTCATTTCTTAGATGATAAATAAAATTAAATGAATGAATGGCAATGGAAGATAAAGTTCCATATGGTGTTCCCTCTCCTATGAAACATGACTGCCTATGGAGATATTTCTGAGTGTTACTACCTGAGCAGTATGGTTGTCCAGGGGGCAAGGGTGTGTTCCATGTATGATTTGACAAATAGTAAGCCCAGTTACTACCATGTAATTTGTTAAAAAAGTACTTAGAACAACAAATAACATGAAGTCAAAGTAAGTTAAAAGTGCCCTCTAAAAATAAATAGATCACACATTACCTTTAACACTCAGCTCAATATATACTGTGATAATAGATCTGTGTGTGAGGTACTATAACAATTACTGTGGGCTCACATTCATGTTTTTCCCATCAGAACCATCGCTTCTCCCCCCTTTGTGGCAAGTAAAATATCTAAGAATCAGGAAACCTCATCTTTTGCCACCTACTCCTGGTGAATATCAATTGGAACTAAATCATGTGTATGCAACATGCCAACTGATTTTCTTTCCTGATGTCAGTGGGAGATTGTAATTCTTGTTTGAACCTATTAAATGCTTAAACCTAGAGTTTGCATGTTGGCTGCAATGGACTTTAAACTCCTGGATTTCCTAGGTGTGTAATCTAACCATTACACTGTGACTAGAAAGGCAAATAGCTGTCTGCTTTGGTCAGGCACGCTTTCAATTTGTATTTCTAAAGAGGTGGTTTTTAATTGTGTGCCTAAATGGAAGGCTGAAACATGTCAGCCCACGGAGGCATTTGAAGCTTGAGTCCAGCCACACAATGACACCGGATACAAGCTGAATGCTACCCCCACTCAAGATAAAAACATGTTTCAAACATGTCTCCCTTCATTTAAACATAATCAGCTGCCTTAGGTGTCCCATTCAGTAAATCTGTTCTTTGCATCTCAGATTTCTGGTTTACTCAGGGCCATAACTCTTAATGCTGGACTATCTGATATAATTACATCCTAGGTCTGTTTAATTTGCATGTGAAATTCTATGTTCACAGCACATAGAATCTTATCCTAAGAACTATTAAAAAATTGTTCAGAGATTGAGACTATTGAAAAAGATGGATTAAATAACAGAATTACCTGTGAGGCAGAAACAGGGTACTCCTTATCACCATGTAACAATGTTAAATGTTTACTTTATAAAAAGAGATTATTATTGAAAAAGTGTCCTGGGTGTGCCAGGACACACCTGCAGTGTGCAGTCAATGCCTGCAGTGGCAGTCATTTTTCTCCTTCTTCGTAGCTGGTTTTTGTGCTGTGTTTTTGACTTTCAGCCTGGGAACAGCGCTTATAACACCGACGGTTTTACTTGCTGCTCAGAAATGTTTACTCTGACCAAGGACTTTCTGAGTCTCATGCTCTGCCAGGGAGGAGGAGAAGCTGGGAGGAAGCAGAGACAGGACACCTGGCCCAAGCTAGCCAAAGAGGTATTCCATACCACAGCACGTCATGCCCAGTATATAAACTGGGGGCAGTTACCCGGAAGGGCTCGATCACTGCTCGGGTTGGGCTGGGTATCAGTCGGTGGGTGGTGGTAGGCGGTTCTATTCTCTTCCGTTGTTATTTCCCTTATCATTATTACTATTGGTGGTAGCAGTAGTGATTTGTCTTATACCTTAGTTACTGGACTGTTCTTATCTCAACCCATGGGAGTTACATTCTTTTGATTCTCCTCCCCATCCCTCCGGAAGCTGGAGGGAGGAAAATGGGGAGTGAGAGAGTGGTTGGTTGTTTCTGAATTACCATCTGGGCTTAAACAAGGACAAAAGGGTAATGCAATTCTGAGCAAAATAATTATTCCCCTTATGACATCATTCTATCTCATTCAAAATTTTAAAGTATGCAGAATATGGAACTATGCTGTGAGAACATAGATTTTAAAAATGATTCATTATCCTGTCATGTATCTGTCTAATGCCAGATAAATTCTGTTAACACCTTTCAGCCTTCTTCACCCCTGCAAAATATTTGTAATAAGGGTACTCTTCCCTCTTCTACCTTCTATCACACTTTATTGGAAAGAAGAGCACAGGAAGAGGGGGGACTGTTTCTACTGCAGTGGTTTTACAGTATATATCTGCACACTGCAATGCAAGCAGTGCCAATAGTAACAGGTATATTTTGTCCTGAACTACACAGATAACCCCAACATTCATTTCACAGAAGTCAGGCCTGCACTGCACATTCCTTCATATCGCTTCCAAATAGTTCAGCCCTTGATAATGGTATTTTCTGGAATCTCATTATAGTAGATTATGCATGTTTTATATGTTGCCTCAGAGAACTGCATATTTTAATACACACACCTCATCGAGAAATACTAGATGTGCCAGTTTTACTTTATCTACCCTTCAGAGATAATTTGCCTTCTGAACAGAACTGAGAAGAGATTTTAAGTGATTTTAATACACGGAGAAGTCCAGCAGCTGGAGCCAACTAAAAAAAAAAAATTGAAGTCCTATTAATTTTTTATCCTATGTCCAAAAGGACACTGCTCTGTGTACATTATGTCAGCATATTCAAACAAGTTTAGGAAAGAAGCTTCAGGCATTGTTCTCAGAATAATTGTAAGTAATGGATAATGATGCCCATGAAAAGATGAATGAGGAAAAAAAAGCTAGGAAAAATCTATTTTGATCAACAACCAACTCCGCAAGCGTGTCAAACACATGCATTTTCATTTCGCTAAGAACAGGTTCAACGAAGCATTAAAGAACATATTACTACAGAGACAGCTGTATTCTAGCATACCAAATCAGGAGACAGACAGGTTACTTTCCTGATTTATGTATCTCATAGTATCTTCCTGCTGAGGCTGATTCCCATGGCAGAGAGAGAGCAGACTAATTCTGAAGACATATGCTATCTTTCATTGTTTCTCAAAATCTCAAGCCATTGTGATCATGGTAGAATCTGACACAGAAACTAAAAGATTTATAGCTAAACCTTGCATGGCTTACAAAGATTTTGCAAAGATGATCAAAGCAGCACTTAATTTCCTACAATTCCTAATTGTATCATAAAAGCCAAATAAGTCTGTTTACAGTTCTGAAACCTCACAGAGGTTAAACGGCAAAAACCTTTATTCTAGATTTTGACCTTTCTCTTTAAATTCTCAACACATAGAACATAAATTCTTTATGTTCCCACTGTGGCTGGGATCTTTTTTCCTCTTTCAAAGGTTTCTCTGCAAAAAAAAAAACAAACTACTACTACTCACTTATTGCATGCTTTTCTTCAGTGTTCACCAAAAGTTGAAGTACATCACAGAAAACATCATTGCTAAATACCAAAATTTGTAACAGTATCCCCTACCATCTTGTTAAAAAGCCTGAATATGACAAATGAAGGCCCCAGATCCCTTGGGATGTGAACAAAAAGTGCTACTGGTATAGAAATGAACAAAAATAAAGTTAAAACCATGTTAAAATATTTCAAACAACAATAGTCACAGTCTAGCTGAAAGCAAAGTTAATTATTCAATAGTCTCCCACTGAAGATCTACATAAAAAAGGAAGAAAAAGCAGCTTACCTTGAAGAAGTTTAATGGCATATCCTCTCGCAAAGCACAAGTGTTCTTTAGTCCCTAAAAATGAATAAAAACAAAGTATGTGGTGCAAGTTATCACTCACAAAGAACGTGGCTGAATCCACCTAAGACTTACATGGATTGTACTGTACTAGTGCTTTGATGAAAATATTGTTTATGGTCTTATTACAAAATTAATTATTAGTTTGTAAAACTAACAAGAACAGAATATTATCCATGGTAGGGCAAGACAAGTTAGAAGGGTTTAAAATAGAAAATAAGGTTACTTCTGTGGAATGACATGGATTCTGACAGTGTCTTTCTTTAAACATATTGCCATTATATACCTTACTTAGTGTCAGAGATACTCTGGGAGAAGGAAACAATGGACCAAGCTATCCACAGGGAGTTTTACAGTTAGTTTTTCTAGGAACATTCCTATTTCTATAGGAAAGTTAGGAATAATTATATCAAGCCTGCCATGATGCACAATAACAGAACAAATGATGCATTAGAAATACCTTTCAATCTAAATAACATGAAGAACAAGAAATCTGTTCCTTTTTCTATTCAAATAGGACCACTTATAATGCTGAATCAGAAACTGCATTTGTATCCCAAATTAGATTGTATTTGTCTTGATAAAACTGAAATCAGATTTTTTCCACTGATACTGAAATATCACTCAAAGTATTCACTCTTCATTACAGAGTCTAGGAAAGCCATCAAGATTCATTTTAGTCATTAAAACTAACAGAAGCAAAACATATAATTCGTGACCAGATAGGGCTTTATCCACTGTTTTCCTGGTTCACTTATGTACACAGTTACTAAAAGCAAGTATTTAACACAGGTCCCCAACCCTGTCATGACCTGTCTTGTAATTGTCCACCATTTTACAGCCCACCTACAAGATTAGGGAAGAAGCATACAAGGGCTGCCATTCTTGTGCATGTTGAGATCATTTAGGGAACAGAAAAGATTTTATAAGTCTTAGCAGAGACTTACATGAAGTTCAGTATCTGTGATTTCATGCTTTTAACACAGGCTAGATGAAGACAGAGGGCTGGATATAACCGGGGCCCAGGTACTGTACGTTTTCTCTTGCCATTTAGTATCAGTTTGTTGCAATGGACAAAACTGGGTTTCTTTCTCTCTATTCGACACTTTCCAGATTGCATCTCGGGTACTCAGACCTGGTTTAGATACTCTCATCACACGAGAGAGTGAAACATATGAAGTATGAAGAGAGGCTGAAATGGTTCAGTGGGTTTAGCTTGGAGAAAATAAGTGCTGGCAAAACAAGCAGCTGTTTCAGCCTTCCACTGGAGAATGGGAGTTACAGAAATGGCAGAGACAGACTTTTCTCTGAGGTGAGAAGAGAGAACAGTTAAAAGTCAGTGGACAGAAACTGCAAGAATGAAAATGTTTCCTGGTCCTAAGAAAATGTCAACAAGAGTGATCACCTCTTTGAAGACTTACGGGATCTCTGTCTTTGGAGGTAGTTGAATCTTGACTGGAAACAGCCCTGAGCAACCTGTATTAATCTTGCTGGTAACCCTGCTTTGAGCAGAGGATTTCACTAGGCCCTTTTCAGAGGTCCCTTCCATTCTGAAGTATTCCATTACTATCCTCATTGCACACTAGACCTCGAGATAAATTCTGAGCACTTCAGGACTTTCAAAATGTAATATGCATAGTGGCTTCTCATTTCCACAGATGAGTGGAATTAAGTTCAGATGAACCAAAAAGGGTTTTTAAGCAACAGTTTCGCAAAAAAAGTAGAAAAACATATTAAGTAGCAGATCAGCGCCTTTTCAGGTGCTTCTCTGTAATATCTTACTACATTTCCCCCCCTCTTTTAAATAAAAAAAAACCTAAATATGAAAGGGATTTGGCAAACCTGTTCAGGCTGCATACAATTATCATAGCTAAAAGTAATTTGGTTTAGAATGCATTTTAATTCAAAGTGTATTACAAGACAAGCAAGGAGTACAAAAATACAAATGGGTTTATGAGTTTTGTGAGATTTAAAATCTTAAAAGCAAAAGCTGTGCAGAATGGAACACATTGCATGCTACAATGAGTCTCAAGCTAAAATGGAAAACTAGTCCAAAAAATCAGTCTCTTCATGGCCATACTGTTACCCATGATTACTCTTGTACAGAAGGGCTCTGCAACCTCCTACTCATACATCTAACAGAAACTTCTCTGCACAGCACACACCCGCACAGAGAGATTTTATTGGGAAAATCTTCAACCAAATACAAAATAACATACAGCAGGCTGAGGATCCTGGTTACAAAGAGAAATAAAGAAGAATTCATGATGTGTACTGACTGATAAGTAACTTAAATGCCATTTATCTTTAATAAAAGTGCTGCATGGATTCCTTCTTTAGAGAGCTGCTTCTAGTAACACCTCTATCTCCTATAATACAGGCTCTGAAAACCCCTTTAGAATACTATTCAGTCACCTCAAGACAAAACCAAGCTCAACATGAAAACTCAAATAGGAACACTGATTATTAACCCCCCCCCCCCCAAAAAAAAAACAAAACACATAAACCCCCAACCAGTCTTTCAATACCTTGTCATGTTGTGTTATCTGTATTTGACTGTCATTCTCACAAATGCAAAGATAACATTGAGCAACCAATGATAAACTGAAAGGAACACATGGACTGTAAAAAGCCCGGACTGCCTGTTATACTAAGTGCACTGCAGGCACAATACAACAGAATGCTCCTGAAGGCTGATCTGTATAACTGCACATTATTAAGCATTTATTTTACCCACACAGATACGGCCCCTTAAGACACCACTATTTTTTTTTTTTTTTAATTCTTCCCAGAGTAGGAGAATTCTGTGCATATTTGTCAAAATCAGGTTAGATTTTCATAATTGGCACTCCCTTGGCCTGTCATTTTTCTTCACTTGCAGTCAAATGACATTGAAAAGGGGATTGGAATTCTTTCATATGTTGTAAAGCATCAGAATCTTTATTTTCACTATAATCTTTGTAGGTGAGTGCCAGTTAGTGAGAACAAGCAACAGGGAGTGCTACTGCCTTTTCTGAAGTTGTTTTAGTCTATACGTAGGAGGTAAAGATCACTGAGCAGTAATCAGTAAAAACAGAACACAACCTACATGGCATCATTCATTCTGAAACTGGTTAATGCTGAAGAGCCTCAAAAACAGAGACAAAAATAGCAATTAAATAGCTTTTATATAGCTTTTACAGACAACTTTATGAGGCTTCACTACACATGCATATTGTTGTGGTTTAAGCCCAGCTGGGAACCCAGAAAACCATACAGCTGTTCACTCACTCCCCCCGCTTCCACCCCGTGCTCCTGGAGGGATGGGGAGGAGAATCGAAAGAATGTAACTCCCATGGGTTGAGATAAGAACAGTCCAGTAACTAAGGTATAAGACAAATCACTACTGCTACCACCAATAGTAATAATGATAAGGGAAATAACAACGGAAGAGAATACAACCACTCACCACCCGCCGACTGATACCCAGCCCGACCAAGCAGTGATCGAGCCCTTCCGGTTAACTGACCCCAGTTTATACAGTGGGCATAACGTGCTGTGGTATGGAATACCTCTTTGGTTAGTTTGGGTCAGGTGTCCTGTCTCCGCTTCCTCCTGGCTTCTCCTCCTCCCTGGCAGAGCATGAGGCTCAGAAAGTCCTTGGTCAGAGTAAACATTACTGATAAGCAACTAAAACCATCAGTGTTATCAGCGCTGTTCCCAGGCTGAACGTCAAAAACACAGCACTGCACCAGCTACAAAGAAGGAGAAAAATGACTGCTGCTGCTGAACCCAGGACACATATACATAGGAACCATATGCTAGTTGCATGAAAAATTGTCTTAAAAAAAAGATAATTGATTTACTTGTGCAGAAAGGTGGCAGTTGCCTTTTTTTGTGTGTGTGTAATCCCCTACATAAGAATAAAAGAATGAGCTCACAGATAGATCGCATCTACTTGAATTCTGAAAGTGTCTGGACAAATGGATGATTTAGTACAAAAGCAAAAGACTGCCAAAATCCCAAGCAGTCTGATTTCACATTGCAACCACTATGGGAGGCAGGAGTAGCAACTGAAAAGAGAGAAATATTACCAGTTACCTTGACGTTAGGTAGTTTTGTTTTTTTTTAATCAAGGAACTGTTGAAGGATCTCCAACAGAAGATGAAATTTGGGCAAATATATAGTTGGAATATTTCCTCCACAATTCTGGAAATGGCATCTCTTACTTATTTTGTAAAAAGAATGACATGAGCTAAGGATGTCCTTGGAACAAAAACCTGCAATTTTGAATTTGCAATTTAGCAGGTGTTCAGCTAATGCCTACCTGCACTTTACAGAAAATTCTACCTGGAAATATGAGTATTCTGTTCACTTCTATTTCTTTATTTCATCTTGATTTGCCTTAGGTATTAGATGTTCCAGTTTTCTACAGATCTTCTATATGTGGATAGTGTTAAAAATAGAATTCCATGTGTAAAAACATTTCACAAGGTTTAATTGCTACTGAAAACCATTTCATTGCTTCACTGTTGTACCCTGAAGTGCTTACTCTCAATTTTTGTTATCTGTAGCATTTTACAACTTGTTCTTTTTTTCTGTTGGCAGGCAAGAAGTGCAAGATGTAGAAGCATTTCAGTAAAACATGTTAAGACATCACAAATAATATGTGATCAAATACAGCTCAGAAACGATAACACAAAGATAGGAAAAAGACAGAAGTCATTGTGCTTTGAATCTTTGAAATGTCTGCAAGAACTAGGGAGAAGTTTACTACTGCTGAGCTTGGACATATTCTCTTAACCTGATCTCAAGCTCTTCTGATGAAGCAAGCACAAGACATAGTAATGAACTAAATGGACCATGTGGTCAACCATAAACAATCCTATCAGGAAGCACAGTAAGCAAAGTTTCCATTGACAGCTTTATGGTTATTTGGATGACAGGACCTACACTTAGTTCTGCTTCAAAGGAAAAATGCAGTTATTTTCTGGCCTTTTAATCTGGCCTTGAATTTACACAGGATGAGTATATTTGGATATAACATAATGTAATGTAATATAATATAATGTAACATAATATAATATAGGAAGAACAAGCTAGAAGTCTCAAACTCATCTTTAGTTATCTTTATCTTTAAAAGTATGTCTACAATGTCTCTATGAAAGATATAACAATAGTTCAGAACCAGCTGCATTTCCTTTAGTTACTGAAAGTAACAAAAAGAGCCAGTGATAAAGCACAGCATGAAAAGAAATGCTATGAATTTTATGTACTTCATTTTTCAGACTAGTTCTACTATATTGAAGTTTTGATACCTATATCTAACAAACACACAGAATCATACCCTCAGAATATGCTTTGTTGGAGTGTTTTCATCAAGGAATCTGTTTTACTGCCTTTCTTACTCCTGCACTATTTTAGTGGAGTGAGTAGAAAAATCTTTATTTCTAATTTTTATTTTCATTACCCTTCAGTGCCATCAGCAAAGCTATTGCTTAGAGGCTTTTCTTGTCAGCTTTATCAGCCAACTTTACTTAAGACATCATTTTTGTTATAGCCACTGAGCTTAAATCTGCACAAATGTTTGTTCTCACTTCCTCTGCTTTGTAAAGCACTTCCATGACTATTTAATAGAATCATTACTTCAAAAGGTAGAATACTTACTGTTAGACTCATCCTTATCTGCAATACCTGTCAACTGTCTTGAACACGTTCAGCTTAGACAAATATACTATCCCATCCTCTGACTGGGATAAAATTGAGTCATTTTCAATTACATTATGAAATCCAGGTTCTTTAACTCCGCTGCACTGAAGCCTTAATGCTCATAGAACAAAGTTCTTCAGAAGAGCCCTTTGGCTTTCAGAAGATAATTTAGCATCCAAAATGACTTATGTTAAAGAGCTTCTGCTTAATAATAAAATAGACCAAATGCCATCCATGTCCTTATAAGTTACTTCCCCTTCTTTAAGGGAAAAGTTTTGATTAAGAAGTGCCTTAAAAAAAAATCCCAAAAGTTCCTTACAGAAGTATTTTAACTATTTTAATAAAATAATTTTCTTAAAATTCTATTAATAACCTACTTTTCTATGCAACTGCTGAAAGTATATTTTTTGCATTATACGCTCAGAAAGTAGTAGTTAGCATTACATGCTGTGTGTATTTTATACTGTACTTCAAACATCAGACAACTTTTCAGATGACATCTGTAAAGTTGCATTCAGCCACAAATGACAAATCTAGATTAAATTTATATTTCTGTAAGCCTTCCATCAATCATAGATGAGACAAATCCAAACCTTGATTCCTCCAGTATCCCAAACTAACAAATCCATACTCATTTCTGAATGTTAAGGAAAAACAGACCTGAATTTTGGACTGAGATCAATTCAAAGGAAAGGAGTTCTGGTGTCCTCAACATAAAAAGGACATGGAACTGTTGGAACAAGTCCTGAGAAGGGTCATGAGGATGATCAGGGGACTGGAGCACCCATATGAAGACAGGCTGAGAAAGTTGGGGCTGTTCAGCCTGAAGAGAAGGCTCCGTGAAGACCTCATAGCAGCCTTCCAGTACCTGAAGGGGGCCTGTAGGGATGCTGGGGAGGGACTCCTCATTAGGGACTGTAGTGACAGGACAAGGGGTAACGGGTTAAAACTTAAACAGGGGAAGTTTAGCTTGGATATAAGGAGGAAATTCTTTCCTGTTAGGGTGGTGAGGCACTGGAACGGGTTGCCCAGGGAGGTTGTGAATGCTCCATCCCTGGCAGTGTTCAAGACCAGGTTGGACAAGGCCTTGGGTGAGATGGTTTAGTGTGAGGTGTCCCTGCCCATGGCAGGGGGGTTGGAACGTTATGATCTTAAGGTCCTTTCCAACCCTAACTATTCTATGATTCTATGAATTCAGGAGCATACTGAAGAGCACCTTTGAAACCATTTTCCTTTCCTTCCCAACTTATTTCACTTTAAGTGAAATGATTTCTATATGTATATATTCCTTTCTATCATCAACACAAAAGCAATGCCTCCAATTCAATATGTAGCTCCCTTTCCAATCATTTCTATAATGTTTTAAAAAACAGAGTAAAACAGTATTTCTGCCAAGGACTGCAGCCTGGAAAAGAGCAGATGCTGTAAGTCCTGAGTCACAATGGACTACACAGAAAAACATATTTGTGTGAAACTGTACAGCTAAGTTAGTCTGTCTTTATTCAAAGGGACTAAAATAGGCTTTATTGAGGAAGCAAGACAGGAAGTACAATATACTCCACCTAACTAAATGGTCTTACTAGATAATTTTAGTTATAATCCTGTTAGTTATGTAACAATCTTATGCATTTGCGGCATAAACATTTTAACATCCTTACAGTATCCACTTAAAGCATCCTCAGATTTAGTGCTCAGCCTCCCTGCTTCATTAAGTGCCTAAAGCATAGTTTGAACAAAAAGAAATTGCTTGGTATTACTTTCTAATCATAGTCTACTCTGCTCATCCTTGCTTTTTTAAACTTTAAATTGCATAAGGCACATCTTACACTGTAGCTGCCATCCTCCACAGGATTTGACGTATATTTCATAGAATCATAGAATAGTTAGGGTTGGAAAGGACCTTAAGATCATCTAGTTCCAACGCCCCTTCCATGGGCAGGGACACCTCACACTAAACCATGTCACCCAAGGCCTCGTCCAACCTGGTCTTGAACACTGCCAGGGATGGAGCATTCACAACCTCATGGGACTCATGGACCCATTTCCTTTTTTATTTGGAGTGGGATGGGTAATTTTTTTCTTGTTGGGTTTTTTGGATGCAATTGTACAAAGGCTATAGGGCAGCAAGGGTGAAGAATGGGTTTTCCCAATTAGTTTCTTAATGTAGGTAACTTGTACCCACCTTTCTCCTCATGATTTTATGAGATTATCTTCTCACACAATTCTGAATCACCTGTACATGCTGTCAGGTCTCTGACACTTTGATCCTTAGAAATTCATCCAAGTGAACGCCTGCAAGTGAAACTGGTAAGGTCTGCTAAGACATGGCAATTCCTGCAGTTCCACACGCCGATCATCTGTATTTCTTCAGTTCAGTCTGCTCTCGCTAATAGTCCTTTTTGGTAAGTGTTTAGGCCATTTGCCTAAGGTAAAGCACCATCACAGATCAGACTTGGGAGGTATCCCACACCCATCTTGCTTGAAAATGACGATGTTTTGCCATCAGAGTGAAATGAAAGCTTCATCAACCTTCTGCTGTAAACACTGGGTTGAGCGTGATCCAAGACAGATACTTTAATTTCCTACTAATAAAGTACATAAAGTTTCCATTGACCTCTTGGTAGATTAGTCAAAACCAGACAATGCAAAGCTTGCTTGAAAGCTGTTCTGGCTCTTACCTCAGATCCTCTTTACTGGTTTATAGGCTGTCACTGACCTCAGCTTATGTGTAGCCAGTCTGCTGCTTTTCTACTAATTTGTAGCCCTAGTTTGTCTTTAGAAACCTTTGATATCCTTTATGTTCAAATCTTAACACTTGTATGCTCACTTTTCATGGTGTTGTTACGGACAAGAAGCAAGGCACTCTCAGTGCCACTGACTGAGGCAACAGATCACACCTGGGGAAGCGCTGTACATATCTTGTGGCACATTCACAATGAACACAGAAAGATCACTAAAATCTGTAAGCTACAAAACTGTCAGTGTCTTGGTGGAAACTGACATGGCACAAAAACTTCTGATTTTTGCTTCATTTCTGTATTTGCACCACTCGCCCCAAACAGCTTTGCCAGTAAGGAGAAGCGACCAGAGGGTAACTGCAGACTGAATTATAAACTGCCTTATGAAGCCGGGTGAGGAAAAGCCGCTGCTGTTCCCGTGTAGGCCGGGGTCAGCCCGCTTCCTCAGACAGGGCCGCTGTGGCGGTGCCAGGCCTCTATGGCGGGGCCGGGCAGGGTCAGGCCTGAGCCGCCCCCGTCGGGGTGGTTCTAGAACGCGGCGGGGCAGGGGCCTTGTGCGTGCGGGCTGCCTTGGAAACGCACTGTTGTGGTGGTGCCCGGGCCCGCCGGAGGCAGAGCGGCCGCAGGGAAGGAGCAGCTCCTCAAGCCCGCAGTCGGGTAGGGTCGTTTCTAAGCCTTTGTATTCGGGTGGCTCTGCAGGTGCGGCTGCGCTGTGGGCTCCGAGCTTTGCTCGTGGGTCAGTTCAAAGCGAGGGCCGGCGGTGGGAAGGTTGTCCCGGTCCTCTGGGACGGAGGAAGTGTCACGTACCCGTTGCGCTGTTGAGAGGTATGTGCAGGCACCTGAAAGCGTCCTAAGGGCAGCAGGCTGTGTGTGAGTGCTTTGGGTGTCAATCAAGTGTTTGGGTTGCTTGGAGTGGAACTGCAGAGCTGGAGCAGGTGAGGAGTTGGGGTAGGTCCAAGTCTTGCCCTCGGCATCCACCCTCTGCTTGGTGGCTCGAAGCAGCGGTGTGTTTGATGCAGAGAACAGGCACTGCCATTTGAAGCAGCTTTGGGAGGAATGGCTCAAAAAAGCCGTTTTGTTTGTAAGCTGTGTGGTGAAGTAAGCTAAACACAGATACAAGGCCCTCAACTTTGCATTATGTTGTAGTAAAGAAACTGGCTCGGTTTTCAACTATTACTGCTGAAGCTTTTTCTTTGCCTTGTGAAATCAAGTGGCAGTTTAGCCAATTTTTTTGCTTCCCCACATGAAATATGGCCTTGGGTGATATGGCCTTGGGTGATATGATTTAGCGTAAGGTGTCCCTGCCCATGGCACGGGGGTTTGAACTTAAGGTCCTTTCCAACCCTAACGATTCTGATTCTATGAAATATGAGTGCACACACGTGTCTGTATGCATACATGTACACACACAAAGTTTTAAGCATGGTTTTAACAGCTACTATTTATATTCTAACAAATCCTATCTAGTTGCATAGATGGTAAAAAAAGCCTGCCAACTGCTTATGAGTAGTTGCCATCCAGAAATTACCCAAAAGTTAATTGTAGAAGAAAGCATGCTTGTGTTGTATCTTTAACAAAGCACTCAGAAGTATTTCTGAACGCAGAAGTATGTGGCTAGAAACAGAACATCAGAACTGCAGCAGTTATTGACTAGAATTTGTTGTTCAGACGGTACCTCTCATTTTGAAGTAGAGCGCGATTGAATCTGAACTTTGAATTTTGGTTGCTTTACTAGCCAGCGGTAGTGAGAACAGATTAATGGCTTTTTTCGGAGTGGTTGCATATCATACTTGCTACTAGACAGAGAAACTTGAAACTCCATTCAGTGTAAAGGAGGATGGAGTGCTTTGACGATAATTTAAAGTAGGCCTGAATGCATGCTCGTAAATCCAAAATGAACACTTATTAATCTTCATGTAGAAACTTATATCCCTCTCAGCTCTTTTCGTTTTTTTTCCCATTGCTTTTTTTTTGCCTTTGGCAGTCACACTTGTTTGCACTTCCATTAGTGGAACACAAGCAGGAATCACAGGCTGGCACATGGCTAGCTTTCCTAAGGATGCACTTGTATTCTGAGGACGTACAACTACCAGCAGAATGATGTGCAAATTACTTGTAATTCAGAGACACTGATAAAAGCCAGCTCTGGTAGTATAGAGATGGTGGGGGTGTAAACTAGACTCTTTATTATACCAATTTAGTCACAGTAGCCATATACAGTTTTATAATTGGATTCTGAACACGTAAATCGATAGCTATTTCTGTAAGAAAAAAGAGTCTTGCTTATCCTTCCCTGAAGTTAGTGATACTTTTTAGCAACAATAGTATCCTGGGTTAGGAAGGAAGATCATGCACTGATCATCAAGTTGCCAGCTCTCAGAAAAGGCGTCAGATCACAGAAACTGAAACTTCTGATCTTGATTCAGACAACTTTGTTAAATCTATCAAGAAATGCTTATATATCCATCTTTGGGCTGTTTTGGGTTTTTTCCCCTGCCAGTTTCAGAACCAAATTTAAAGAGGACTTATGAATTTGTGAATGCGTGTCAGGCTGCACATAGGCATCTGAATCCTCCCAGTGGCATACAAAATCTATGCAATTTTAAATATGCATGCTACTCTTTTCATCCTGGGTTGGCTACTGTTTGGTTGCTTCCAGAGTTAGTCTTGGCTCTCCAGATTGTCTTTCCTGATTTTTTTTTTTTTTTTTTAAATCTTGGTAAAA